TCATATGTGAGATATAAAACTGAAAGCAACAAGTGAACAAACAAGATGAACAATTAACAGTATGGAGGTTACCAGAGGGAAAGGTTGAGGGGTAGTAAAAGGTAAAGGGGATAAATATATGGTGATGGAAGAAGATTTGACTTTGGGTGGTGGGCACACAATGAAATGTACAGATGATGTATCATACAGTTATACACTTAAAACATATAATTTTATTAACCAATGTCACCCCAATAAATTTAATAACCAAAATTTTTGTTTTAGTTTTTGCATTTAAATGTATTGTATATAGCACTTAGGTTCTGAGGTATCAGAAAATAAATGGCTAATTGAGAAATAATTGCTAATCTACTCTGCTTCCTTTGGAAGCCGATGCTACATAAATAAAAGTAGCATGTGCAGAATTAGATCTAACAACTTTTTTATTTAGGAAAGTTTCTTTTAATTTTTTCCTGGGTACTGATAATACTTGCTTCTTAGTTTTCCCATAATTTGCTGCCATGTAGAATATTTTTCTATTAGTTGATATTATTAAATAATTATATTTGAATATAATAATTATATTAAATAATTATATTTAAATATAATTATTTCATGCACCAGGCCTCTAGTATTTAATAATTATATTTAAACCCCTCTGGAATACCACTTGGTATACTCCCTCACGCTTGTAGTGGTTGTATTAAAAACTACTTATTAGTTTTTACCATACCTTGTTTTTCCAGTTTATAAACAGAAACAAAGGCTGTGAGAGACTAAATTAAATATGTGGCCCTCATTCCTCATATCTACCAAAAAACTTTTGAATACAGCATTTCGTGTAACCAGAAGATAGGGCTTTTTGGCCCGTCACACACTGAAATCAACAGGCATGTAATTTTTTCATAGAAGGAGATAGTCTTATCTATGTTGGTTGCTACCCTAACTCTTAAATTCCTTGTTTATATAATGAGTACTTGGGGTGAATATTGGTTTGAATTAATACTTTTACTGTGAAAGGTGAACCACTTATTTATCTATCTGACTATTCTTAATTGAGGTAGTTTACGCCTCAACCTGAACCAACCTAGTTTGAAGCTCTTCCTTGTTATATTAGAATTGAAAATAGGAAATTCAGAATCACTGCTGAAGAATATAGTTTTATACCTTTTGTGGTAATGTTTTTAAAGTTAGTTACTATAGTTAATGAATGAACTTCCAGACTTTTTTAAAATTTAGAAAGCAAAGAATACTAGCTGTCAATTAATTAGAATTCAGTTTAAATCATTAACTGCAAGAAAGCCAATTCCAGTTTGATTGAGATGTAATTGATATATAATATTGTATTAGTTTAAGGTATACAATATAATGATTTGATATATGTGTATGTTGCAAAGTGATTACCATAATAAGTTTAGTTGACATGCATCATCAGATATAGTTACACTTTTTTTCTTTATGATGAGAACTTTAGGTTTTACTCTTTTAGTAGCTTTCAATATGCAACACAGCATTGTTAACTATAGTCACCATGCTGTAAATGAATCTCTAGAATTTACTTATCTTTTCACTGGAAGTTTGTGCTTTTTGGCTACTTTTGCCCTTTCCCCCATCCCCTGTCATTGGCAACCACCAGTCTGTTCTCTGTTTTATGAGTTGGCTTTTTTTAGATTTCACATTTAAGTGTGCTCATATGGTATTTGTCTCTGTCTGGCATAGTTAAGGTAGCATAATGCCCTCATAATCCATCCATATTGTCAAAAATGGATGCAGGACTTTCTTCTTTCTTTAATGGCTGAATAAACATCACATTTTCTTTATCCATTCATCTGTTGATGACACTTACGTTGCTTCCCTGTCCTGGCTGTTGTAAATAATGCAGTAAAACATTGAGCGGGGGGGGGGGGGTTGCGATATCTCTTGTGAGATTTTGTTATATATACCCTGAAGTGAGGATTGCTGGATCATAAGGTAGTTTTATTTTTAGTTACTTGAGGAATTGGAATAAAGAAAATAAAGTTTCTTCCATCTTACCTAGAAATCTCCTGTGTAGAGCAGGATTTGCTGTGTCCCCCCTCCCCTTTTTGTGGTTATTATTAATATGAATATCTTAAAATGTGTTTAAAATTTAAAATTTTTATTACTTTTTTTGGGTCCTTTGATCCTATTAGAGATTGTTTTCCCATGTTTATTTGGAATTTTGGCTATAAACTCCTTAAACCATTTATAATTATTAGTATATTTTTAGCTGCTTTGGAAAATATTTACTGATCTTTAAATAGATACTTAAATGTACACTAGCTCCAGGGATAGTTTAAAATCTCCTGGATTTAAAAATAAACAACAACAACCAAAAAAGAAAAAAAAGAAAGAAAAGAAAAGCTGCTTCTTCTAAATGGAAGAATATTTTTTAGATCTAACTATAAGTCCTCGAGAGTTTTAATTTTATACCAGGAGCATTTATTGAGTACTCAGTGGTAATAATGACAGCATTTATTGAGACCCTGCCTAACTGTGAAGCTCTGTGCTAGAAACTAAAAAAAGAAGAAAAAAAAAGTTGTTTTTCAGTGTTCCCAGTTTGTTTATGGTAAAGAAAGTCATACACATACGGGTTAATTTAAATTAGTAAATGTTGTGAATAGAATTTTGAATGATATATTGGGAGAGCACAAAGTAGTAGTTATTTAATACCACCTGGAGGAACCAGAAAACACTGAGAGCAAGCTAATCCTGCATACTGGGACTTTTAAAAGGTAGAGGAGGGAAATAGCTTGGAGTCACCAAAGAACCGAATTTGTTTGGAGGCAGTGATTAGGTATGTGTGGCTGGAGAGTGTTTGTAGGGGAGCCGGAATTGGGGAGGTAGGGTTTGCGAAGTTTTAGAAAATGAAGCTTCTAATTGATGAAGAATTTTGCCAAACTTAAGGAGTTTGAGTTTTATTTAATATGCAGTAAAGAACCAACAGACCTATGTAAGTAGGAGAATGACATAAATATGTTGATTTTAAGAAGGTAATTCTGATAGTAGCATAGAGGCCGGCTCTGATAGAGTTACTCTAGCTGGAGCTCTTTGCAGTAGTCAAGCCAAAAGGTATGATCTGTGACAGTGGGGATGGACTGGAGGGCTCTAATTCAATTGGCACTTCTGAAATGGACTGAACAGTTTCAGAAATAGATTAGATGTGTGGGTTAAGGAAAGGAGATTTTTTTGTTGTATTCCCTGCATTTATTCTTTTTAAGTTAGTTGTACATTAATTTCTATTGATGGTAGAATTGGGCAATTGAAGGCCACTGCTCTGAACTTTGTGCAGAAGTACTGTGTACTTGTTGACATTTCAGAGATGTTAAAATGTGAGATACTAGTATGATGTCATATAAGGGTTAATGTGCTTTGATATTTTCTGTTCGATTCTCTTTTATTTAAAAAGGTTGGTCTCAATCTACTGAATTGGTGATAACCTTCATTTTGAAAAAAAAACACTGCAATTTGTATTTATGATTTGTATTTTTTATTCAGCTTTTTATGTAAAAATGTAAATCTGCTTTGTCAGTGGTCTTTTTAAAATTTTCTTTTGGCTCAGAGTTGTCATTAAAAAATAAGATTAGTTGTTTTTCTAAATGTAGTTACAGGCATATTAACATATTGTAGAAGACTTGATATTGTATGCATTTTTGCTTCCAATGAAATAAAAGCTTCAGAAACAAAATAAGATATAATAGGTTACTTCTTTTTTAAAGTAATCTTTCTATATTTTCAGTGTGAAGTTTACTACTCCTGGGCAGTTAGTAGTCTGTGTAAAAGAATTGAAATTTATATTAAAAAATGTAACATACTGTACTGCCTTCCAAAGAGAAGTTCAAATGTTTGCTGTCTTGGGATCTTTGCTATTCTTACAGAAATGCTCTTTGTTCTAGAGAGAACTGATTTTACAGTTACTCAGTTGCTTTAATATGATAGGACCTAGGTAAGACTTGATTGTCAGAGTTCACTGAACCTTAAGTTTTTGTTAAGTGCATAGCATATATCTAGAAATTAAGTAGTTCCCCTTTCAGTAGCATAGTCATAACTATTATGTGAGAAAATTATCCTTATTATATCACTGGTGAGTATATTTTACAGCTAGTTCGTACTGCTTTGTGATTCTGGATTGACTTGAATAGAGACAAGACATATTATTCTTTGACTGATGCAGTCAATCTAAAGTAAAGATTAGAATGTTATTTTATTCATGACATCTGTTAATTATAATCAGTATTCTAATTACATAAAATATATTGAGTCTTTTTTAAAAGAGGAATATTTAAATGTTAAGACAAATCTGAGTTCGGGCTGGAGGAGATCAACATATAGATAATTCTATCATTTTATTATGTTATTGTCATTTTGGGAAACCTGAATGAATTGCTTTGCTTTCTTTAAAGGATAAGTTTGACAAAAATAAGACCATTGTGATAGCCTCATAAACAAATTAATCTAACTCGAAAGGGAAATGTGGTGTTAAACATTTATCAAAAGATAACTGAAGAAATAAAATCAATTAAAATAATCCAAAATAATTTTAAATTTTAAGTGATTAGGATATTGTAGAAAAAAATAGATTTTTTTTTTACCTTTCATGAGCATAATGTACTTATATTGCCATGCCATATGATTCAGTTAGACTTTATCTGAGCCCCAGTTCTCAGCTAATGCCTGTGTGTGGAATCACAGATGCCTATCAAATATTCCAGAGCAGAGCAGTTCCAGATAGATAGATGATGTGTTTGATATTTTAAGTAAGAGAACAGTATGTGTTTGAAAGTTCAGATATCTATATGCAGATATCAGAGTCCTTTAGCCAGAGGAAGCTGCTAACTCAGCATTGTATTCATGTTGAATCTTATCTACCATTGACCTATTTTAACTATTTTGGGCAGAATATAACTTGATGTGCCTTTTTTTTTTACAAGGTGGAAAAAGATATCTTCTCAATACTCACAGAAATTATAAGTGTGGTAATTTTTGCACATTTTTCTTTGTAGGCCCAGATTATTCTTCATCAGCATGGTTACCTGGTAGTGAGTCACTGTGGCAGGCCACAGCTGTTCCATCCAACCATCGAAATAGCCACATCAGGAGACATAGTATAGCTTCTGACAGTGGCGACACTGGCATCGGAACTTCCTGTTCTGACAGCGTGGAAGGTGAGTAAAAATTCTTAGTGTTTTGATACGCCTGTTGGGAGAATGGTTGAGTTGAGAACATTCAAGGGATATGTTTTATTGTTTTAGACCAAGAAATTTAAAAGTAGTGTTTGAATATTTAATGATGTTCACTGTTGCTATTTTGAATAAATTATAGATTCACATGCAATTTTAAGAAATAATACAGAGATTCTGTGTACCTCTCTCCCCAATGGTTATATCTTACAAAACTACAGTACAACATCACAACCAGGATATTGAGTTGTTACAGTCCAAATACAAAACATTTCTATCAGCAGAGAATACCTAATGTTGCTCACCTCACTTTCCCCTCCTCAACTCCTGGAGACCATGAATCTCCATTTCTATAATTTTGTCATTTCAAGAATGCTGGATAAACACAATCATTCAATATGTAGCCCTTTGGAATTTTTTTTTCCCCACTGGAGATTCATCCAGGTGGTTGTGTATATCAATAATATCTTCCTTTTATAGTTGAGTAGTACTTAAGTAACAATGGTAGTATTGAATAGACCACATTTTTCTTAACCTTTTACCTGCTGAATGACATCTGGATTGTTTCTAGTTTTTTGCTAGTGGGGATAAAGCTGTTCCCAGCATTCATGTATGGGTTTTCGTGTGAACTTACATCTTTATTTCTCTGTGGTAAATGTCTATGCAATGGCTGGTCATATGGCAGTTGCATGTTTACTTTTTAAAGAAACTGTCACACTGTTTTCCAGAGTGACTTTTCCATTTACATCAGTAATGGAAATGGATTAGAATGAGTAACCCAATATTGTCTTTATCCTTGCTAGCATTTGGTAGTTTTCAAATTTTAGCCCATCTGATAGGAATTAAGTGATATCTTATTGTGGTTTTAATTTTCAGTTCTCTAATTAACAGTGTTGAACATTTTCCACATGGTTATTTGCCCTCTGTATTTTCTTTGGTGAAATATCTCTTCATGTCTTGCTCATGTACTAATTGGATTATTTCCTTTTTTTAGTGTTGAATTTTGAGAGTTCCTTATATACAGGGTGTCCCCAAAATGTACCGTATTTGCCGGCGTATAAGACGATTTTTTGGCCCTGAAAAATATGCCTCCAAGTGGGGGGTCGTCTTATACGCCAGGTACACTTCAGATAGACTGCCCATAGTGCTTGCCCCGTGCCATAGTGGCCTCCCGATGCCCGCCCACTTCATTCCACATTCCGTTCAGGCATCAGCAGCGCTGCTGGGTGTATGCTCGGCTGTTAC